TTTTTTTTTTTTTTGCAGAATACCAGTTGTATTAGAAAACCGCAGGTCATCTCAGGGGGGGGAGGTGCGCAGCCCCTGCACCCTTCTCCTAGATCCGCCCCTGCAATAGGGAGCTTTAGCACCGACGACGACGGCGGCGGCAGCGAAAACGTTACTTTAAAAATGAATTCTCGTTTTTTCAAACTTTTCCGCGTTTATGCCAGTTCGCTTGAAATGTCAAAAGTGGGCGAATTTCCTTGGAGTTGATTTCTCGGGGACCGCACTAAAGTTTAGAGGGAGAAAAATTTGTCGTCGCTTGTTTACGTCCTCCATAAAACGTGAAATTAGGCATTTTCACGTCGTATTCTTGTAGAGGCGGCTGAGAAATGTACAAAAAAGCGAGATGCACGTGCAAGTTTGTTGTTTTGCTTAATAAGCCTATTGTTTTTTTGACGTTCTCGTTGCCGTCGCCGTCGTCGTTGCTGAAGCTCCCTAATTTCTAGACATGATAGCTCCTTCCAAGTGCACAAGAACAAGTTGCCTCTTAATAGGCAACATTTAACGCCCGTCTCAGACGCTGTACTTCACATGAACTGAATCAAATTCAATGAATCAATTGGAAACGGCGAACTTAGTTTGGTTCGGTTCTGCCGTTCTTCACGCCTGGCCTGTGTACAGCCGCCCCTCCCCTCAAAAAAAATCAGAAAGGAGGGGAGGGACGGCTGTACACAGGCTATTCACGCCTGGCTTAGCCGGGAATAACGGCTGTGGACTGAACCAAACCAAATGTACAAATCATTTATGAAGTTCACCGAAACGCGCATTTTTCCTTTTGAATTTAGTTCGGCTGGAATCAAGATCCGCGTCTGAATCAATTCAGCCGGCCTAATTTGATTTGAGTTGGCCTAAATTCGAATTTGATTGTGAAGTACAGCCTAAAATTCCAGTTTTCTTTAAGACAAATGGTAAACGCTCCGTAATCACTTACGTTCGACCGAAAACTTCCATATTTCCTTGGGCTATGGAAGATTTTTTAACGATAATTATATTTTTTTTTCTTAGTTTACCTTTCCGGGTGTTTAGAGAGTTACATTCAATGCGCGAATTAGCAGGGCAGTAATCACTAATCGTTGTCAGATATTCTAACAGTTTTGTAAGATTTCCAGTGAAAGCTAAGTGAATTAACAAACATTACCACAACAGGGTAACCCAAAGCTGGTCGTGCTGGAGTGCTCTGTACTCAGAACATTCTTAGAGCCAGGGGGACTACTCTCTAATATGGGTATTCTATGAGGGGACGCTGATTGGATTTCCCCTGAAAACAGACTACATTATTTGTCCTAATCAAGGTTATACTTGTATTATTTAATGTCACGAGTAATCCGAGATCATAGAGGTTGGTATTCAAGTATAAAGAAACAATAACTGTGTTTTAGACCCATCATAATCCTGTAAGACAAGGGAATAAACCAATTGATAAAAACTAAAGGCATGGTAGACAATATTTGAGGTTTGTCTTTATCCCTCGTAGGGCCCGGGACCCCTATACCACTTTGACATTGACGAGCCCTCAGCCTACCCCCTTTCGGCTATGAATAAAACAAATATAAAAGTAGCCAGGCATGTTCTCACTTGTTTGTGAATCGATCAAATACAGGACCAACGGCCCGTCAACACCCTCGTCCCCAGGGCTTTTCGGAACGCCATCCACTGACAAAGAGCCTGCTCTAGTATAGATAGGACCGCTCGAATGTTGTTACTCAAGATGTTCTTGGGGAAATAAGGATACCCCTAAGCTGGCAGCTTACATTTTGAAAACTTGAGTGAACGGAGTCGAAACCGTTGAATTCGCCCACGAGTAAACCCGCCGTCAAAAAACTTGTTTTAGGGAACAACTGGAAAACGAAATGATTGTTATTTGTTTGTTTTTGCTTAGAAACATGTTGCTGTTGTTGTTGTTGTTATTTTTTTTTTCAGTGCTTCGATTTGAAAGGTCATAGTCGCAAATAACGATAAATCTTGTAGAACTGTAGAAGCAGTTTTCATTCCTAGGGCTCTTTCTGATGCGCTCTCATTTTCAACACCGAGAAGGTCATGAGGAAAGGGTGTAGTAAACCCTTAATGGATTGGTTATTAAACGATGTGTAAACGGAATTTCGTCAGCGGCTCTTCTCAAAACCTCGTTGTAAGCCGATTTCGGCATCGTTTTCTTTGAATAATGTTTAGGCGTATCTACCATGGGGCAAGTAAAAGATGGAACACTATAAGAGCCTCACGATCTGTCTTCACTTCAATGGGTTTTTATTTTACCACGAGAGAATGAGCTAGATCATTCTCTCTTGATTTTACTGATTACTATTTAAGCAAATAAATGTTTGGGTTTTTTAAGTCTGAACTGATGCTTTTTTGACACCTATCACATTTAACAAAATGAAAGAGTTATAATTGGCGAAATCGAAAACGGCTTACGACTGGCTTTGTTAAAAACAGGCCAACTCTGTTTAATGAGAAACAGCCCTTGGTGATCTCTCCCAAATGATCAAATAATGCAAATATTCATTCATCTTTAATTTTATTATTTTTAACGAACTGAGGTTTTTCATCTTTTTTCGCAAAATCAGTCATGAATCGCAGCGAACTCTTTTACTTCCAGAGTTCATGATATAAATATGGAGCTTTTAAAGCAACGACGACGACAACGACAACGTCAAAAACTAATTGGCTTAATGAGCAAAACAACAGCTCTACACTTGCATCACGCTTTTTAGTATTTTTCTATGCTCTCCACGAGTACGACGTGAAACCTCCTGATGCAAGTTCCTGGTGCAATGTTTTATGGAGGAGGTGAACATACGACCACGAATTTTCCTTTCTCTTTTTATTTTGAACCTGGATAGAGTCCTTAAGAATTCAACTGCAGGACGCAAATTCCTTTTTTAGCGACCTTTTCACTGCCGTCGTCGACGTCATTGCTTAAGCTCTAGACTACGAGCAGTCTCTCTTTTTTTTTCTGTAGTCCATCGAGCAAAACGCGAGACACGCAAATTGCCACGTCACGCGCGTGAATGATGGCGCTGCCGCCCTCGTTTCGCGTGCCTCGCAGCTTCGCCGCTCCCGCGCGCGTGCATTGCTCTCACTAAATCTGAAGGAAAAGAGAGACTGCTCGCAGTCTACTTAAGCTCTTTCTATATGACGATTCATGAAACCTCTTTAGTAGTTCTTTCACAACTCGGGTGCTAATTGTTTTCGTTGAATCAGTTTTGAAAGTGAAAGGGTTAAAACTATAACGATTACAAAGAACTCTCGCCACTTCTCGGGCCATTTTGGTAGTTTGTCATCCGAACGCTGTCGTCGTTGAAAGAGCGGTTTCTATTGGGGCATAAAAACTGTAATAAAGACTTTCGAAGTTCTTTGTTCAGTGCTGTGTACAATAGGGGGTTAATAGCTGATTTAGAGTACATAACGCAAAGGAACAGCCGAAAATAAAAAGGCGCGATCTTCGCGTTAGAAAACTTGTGTAGTGTCTGAACGATGAAAAAAGGAAGCCAACATAATATGAATACACCACCAACTAAAGCAAGTAGCCCTGCTGCGCGAAATTCCTTTCTGCGTATTCGCGCGGCCTTTAATTGGCGCTTCAAATCAGTGTCTTCTCTCATTTTAAATATCTGTCGGCGCGCTACTAGGAAGATCTTGGTGTAGCTTGTTGCCATGACGACGGATGGTATGAGAACGACAAATGTCCACAGGGAAGAAAAATACAGCACTTCAGAGAGGTAGTTATATCTGGATACAGCCCCACTCTTGCAGATGGTGTCCGCTGTACGCCAAAATATTGGTGGTAATGATATTGCAAAGCTGCCTGCCCAAAGGCCCGCGATGACGTGACCAGCATGTCTAGCGGTCATTACCATGGGGTAGTGTAATGGTTTTACGATGATGAAATATTGGTTAAGCGCTACCGCGCACAAGTTAAAGACGGTCGCGGCACCGAAAAGGACGCCAAACGGAGTTGTGATGTAGCAGAAAGACGTGTGAGGGTACCAACGAACATGAAGCGTTGATAAAAGTGTGGTTGGCATCTTAAGAGCAGCGTGAAGGAGATCAGAAACGGAGAGACTTACAAGAAAGCTGTAAAGGACAGTGCGAAGGCTTCTACGCTTGTAGATGATCAAGCAGACAAGCGAGTTGGCTGTAACTCCCACAAGGATAACAAAGGCTAAAAACACTGCTTGGATAATGTCCCCAACTGTCGCTCCATGTTGATCCTGTCGATGTGGCGGCATTGTTGAGATATTCAGCTTGATCGAAGAATTAATGTCCCTCATTGCTGAAAGAGAAGAAGATAATTCAGCCCCTTCGAAATGATATGTTTTAGAAAAGTGTAATGCATGGATAGATTTCTGTTCTTTACTGTCCATTCACCTCGAAAAACAACCTCGTCCTCATGGAAGGGGCGGAGTAAAGGAAAGCCCTGGGCACGAGGCTGCTCGAAAAACTCGCGTGAAGTAAAAGCATCATGCAGGCTTTCCAAACTTCAGTCTTCTTGCGAGTCAAAATAAACACTCAGGCCCCGTCCACACGTATCCGGCTTTCTTTGAATCCGCAACTTTTTCTTTCCGGATACTGCTTCCGTCCTCACGTACGGTGAATCAGGCATACAAGAGAGATTAAGATTCACGTTTACCGCAAACGGCAAACGTCAGACTCAAGTTGAGAATTTCTCAGAATAGAAAATAAGCAGATAAAAACAGTCCCGAACGATTCCCATGGTTAAAACTGGCTTAAAACTACTTATTTTTGCGTGGAAGCAATAAAGAGTAAACGGAAAATAAGGGGGAAACTTGGTCACGTGGTACAAATTTACGTCTGCCGTTTGGTGCAAACGTGGATCTTAATCTCTCTACAAATCCGCCGGAAACCTGTGGACGGGCAAATTCGATTTGAATTCGGATACGTGTGGACGTGGAAATTTTTTTAATCCGGAAAGAAAAAGTTGCGCAGTCAAAGACATCCGGATACATGTGGACGGGCCCTTATTTTCCCGTTTCAGACAAACACATAGAAAACATGAGGTTGAGTATGATATGAAGAATCGTTATGCGTATCGAGGAGGTTGTTATCAACAAAGCCCCCGTGCCAAACAGACTTGCCGCACCGCTAGCTATCGTGACATCAATCGTGGATAATTTGTGATATACTACCATTGACGTCTAACTTACTGGCTTCAATGAGAGCATGATTAATCATCTTCTAAATTTGGGAGGACGAAGCAGGATTTGAAGAAAAATTATGTATAAATTATAAGGTTAAATGAACAAGAGTCTGTCTTAGTTTTTAAACGCCCGCATGTAGACATGGTCTAATATATTTGCTAAAATTAATTTAATCGGGTGATTCACTAATTTTCGGTAAACTGAAATCTAAACGCTAGGAATTAAGCAAATATTTGGTATTATTCGCCCCAAAGGCAACGCATGACAGAGTATTAGCGAAAAAGAGTTTCGAGAGTGCAATTAAAAATTATTTTTTTGTAAAGGGTAAAAATTACTTGGGTTTCTATAAAGTTCCCAGAAATCAGTGTTGAAGTGGTCACACATGCAGTCGTTGTAAGGAACTTTGCCTTAAAGACTAAATCAATACAAAACAAATTAGCAAAGGCACGTCCAGCTTGCCCCGAGTAGCTTTTTTTCGACCACCGGATGGGGTCTCTGAGAGTGTTATTCAAAAATATACCATTCCCTGGTTAGCTGTTTAGGCCTCACTGATCGAGTCACAAAGTATAAATTGAGGGATTACTTACTTCGATTTGGTCTGATGGTTAGCCAAGTTGTCAGAGTGAAGCACGAACTTGTTTCAAGTACGAAGTTTCATTTTTGTGCTAAGCGGCGCGGCGCGCCTTTCATTAGAGGTAAAATGCCACTAATATTGACCACTGTCGTGTGATTGAACAAGAATATATACAATCAAAAATTTCTTTAACCGTATAGAATACATTAGGCATTAACCCATTAGCGAAGAATATTGCGTCTAAATCACACTTGAAAAAATTGTACCATATTAAAGTACTTCCAAGGGAGAGTTTCACTTGAACAAAAATATAAAAGTCATTGTCCGCCGCCGCAGACAATTTGAAGTACGTACTGTAGTACACTTGTCTACGCAATCATGACTTTCAAAATCAGTCGTAAATGATTTTCTTATTGCTTCGTACCGAGGGCGAATATTCCCAGAATTTTAACTTAAATTACCTTTGTAAATTATTTATAGTAATAAATTTGACGGCAGTCTAAAACAGGACGTGTTAATTAGCGGATTATTGTATTTTACGCTTATTTTTTACACGTTTACACTTGTTTCACCAAGTGAATACGTCAAGAGAAACACGCCTGATATTTGCATATTTTTCATTATATACAACATATGAGAAAGCATTTAATCAGTTAAAGTTTTTTTTTATATATTTTTTCCGACAAGAATGACTGTTTGACTTACAATCTAGCTTATTTCTACTGCAGTACTGCTTCTACGTCATATGGGACCATACCGAGTGAATGTAGGCGAAAGAAATCGATCTTAATTGCGGAATTCTAGTAGCTATCTTGACTGTTCACAGTCCTCTATTTTTCCGTAAGATCATCGAGATTGAGGGCTTTGCGTTACGGGCTGCCATCTTGCATGAGTGTCAAAACTACTTAGGGGGCGGGGCGGTTTTGGAGGAGGCGAGAAAAATAGAGGTACATTTGAAAATCAAGATAGCCGTGAGGTAAGACGCGTTATATCTAAGCGATCTCACGAAAAAATAGGGGACTGTGAACAGTCTCACGGTAGCTATCAAACGCATGCTCGCAAGCCTAAAAACTCCACCTTTTTAGGAATAGTTCTTCCGAGTACAAACATGATAAAAAGACGATGGAACGACGCATCACCGATATGTTTAGCATAGCATGATCATTTTGGTTGGACAGAATTGCAACCGAGTTTACTCAGAGGCCCCGACGAACCATCTCCAAACGCCAAAATGAAATTTGAGTTTATCTTGGAGTTGTTGGACAACAATGTTGCGTCCGTTTGCACGAGGCTTTAGACGTAAAAAGATGATGATGTCATACATCACACAGCGCATGCCCTGCGTTTCCGTGTGGAAGAACGAAAACGATTCGAATAGAGTGTTTTCACATGACGTCATGGCGGCCATATTGGTGTCCCAAAACAATGAAACGGCGGCCATGTTGGTGTCCCAAACCAGTCCTGTGGGAGTTGAACTCTTTTCTTATGCAAACGCTTTCTTTTGTTCCAATAAATTTGCATAGATGCTGGCGACGTGAGTGAAAACACTCTATACGTTCAAAAAATCTGGCTCCGTTTTAAAAGTATCCGGCTACGTGTGGACGAGGTCTTAAATTAATATGATTTACAACGATTGAAATCTACCATTAATATTTTAAGTTTTTAACCTAGATCTTAACCGTGACGATAACGGGAAAGAAATAAATCCTGCCCCACGAACGTCGTTGGTGGGGCAGGAACGCGTGACGAACCCCTAAGAACGTCCGCGGGGAAGGCTAGCAGTAACGTAACATTGGCCGTTTTTTCATCCGTTAATTGTTAATGTCACCACCCTGCAACCGCTATAATGAAACGTCAGTTGAAATCCATCACTTGTCTTTCCATCCTTACAATCATGTACAATATATTACTTGGTCGGAACCTGTGAAAAATTGGACTTCTTGGGCACAACCTTCATGGCCTTCGAACGTCCTTAGAAGATTTGATTGCCTTTGACCACACCCATGTGATGGCACAAGTATGGCAACGTTAATTCAGACATTGTGAGGAGTCTACAGCATAGAACTAACAAAATAAATTTCCAAATTCTATAAGACTTGGCAAATCGATACATCTATTTCCCGATCTGTTTAACATAATTTTCTAGGAATACTTCTGTGCACACTAGTATAGGTAAAAGCAGATACCAATGTAAATCTGCCAAGAACTGCAGACAAAATGAAATTTAAAAGAAGTGTGATGACTGTAGATAAAAGTGTGTACCGCTTAAAATTTTTCACCGGAAGGATTTTTGAAAACATGGTTTTTCGAGTTCTTCAGTTTGGTAATTCAGTTTCTCCAGCAGCTGGCATGTAAGGAACCTCTTTTTTGTCTGAACCTGCAATTTTGTGTTATAGTTGAATAAGTCATTATCATGCACAGTTTATAAGACGCTGGTTAATGCCAGGTATTACAGAGGACAATGGAGGATAATGCACTTTAATATTCATTGAAAAGATTTCTCAGCTCCATTTCTGATTGGATGAAACGCTCGGCTAATTCTTCATAACCAGATAACGTTGACCAAATTTGGAACATGTTTGCGATATCCGATGAAATGACATCAACAGTGCAGGATAACTACACGAAAAGTCACGGCGATCGGTCGCGAGAGCCCCTGGGACGAGGCTGAGTTATGGCAACCAGCCAGAGAAAATGGCGGAAAATTTCACACGTTTTGCGTAGAAGGAATACGCGAACTACTGCTTTAAAACAGCAAGAAAAGGAAAAATAATACTCAAAGGATGACAACTGCTATATTGAAGAATATCTGCTACACACCGTATTATAGGAAATTAACACTTTAGGCGAAATTAACCCGGATTTCAAAAATTCGCGTTTAATTATGTCGTTTATTTTTGTATACGTTAATTTCCGCGACCTTAATTTCTATTATTTTGGCCCAGGCCAAATTTTCCCTTCGTACGTTTACGGAAAGTCCAACGAACAAAGTGTCCATTCCATTTTGGATTATACGTTGAACTTTGTCCCTGTTTGTGTCTCAACAAGTTTTGTTCTTTGTGAACGTCGCGTTAATTTCCTTTATTTTGAAATGTCACCCTCTCAGAGAGTGTCTCTTTCGCGTTAATTTCCTTTATTCGAATGTCTTTTCCCACTTTAATATTCGCGATAATTTAAGTCGCGTTAATTTACAATACAGTACCTATATTTCTATTACAAGGTGTCCTGAATGTTCCGAAAAAAAAAGCAAACAAATGAAGGCGGAAACTTTACATCGATCGACGAAAGCATGTGTTAGGGTTGTTTTTAAAGTATATCAGAAGCATACGAATTATGTTGAATGAATGATAAAAACAAAATTCAGCTTCCGTATGATGTGAAGAATTAAGCAGATCGAAGAGGGTGTTACTCTCCTAGGCTCGTTTTTTTCAGATCATACGAAATCAGAATTAAATAACTGATGAATAAATACGGATACCGCCCCGGGGATACAGCGGTAACCGCGCTGTAAATTATTTTCAAGATCTTAGATTAAATG